CAGTGAGGACAGTGAGGAACGTGAGGGACAGTGAGGGCAGTGAGGGCAGTGAGATGCAGTGAGGACAGTGAGGACAGTGAGGGCAGTGAGATGCTTGAGGGCAGTGAGGGGCAGTGAGGGCAGTGAGGTGAGTTCTCAAGGCTTCCTCCCTTCACCCAGTCACTTGCATATTCGTTGTCTTCACTCCTCTGCCACGGCAACATACCGTTATGAGGAAATATATATATATATATATTTATATTATATATTTATATTTATATTTTTTTCACCCTGACACTTGTCAAATTGGAAAGGAAGACTTCATTCAAGATTGGCAGTGGAGAGAGCAGGCTCAGCTCTGAATACAGAAAACCATCTGGGGTTCCCAGCCCAGGATCAGGGCGGGACTGAACAGGCAGAAACCTCCTAAGACTTAGCCAGAGGCAGGTCAAGTGACATCAAAGCTGGCAAGGGCGGGTAAGGGCAGATGCTTCCTGAGCTGGCTCACCAAGCTTCTTGATGGGACTGGCAAGCCAGAGTCAGACAGAGGCCAGAGCTGGGACCCAGAAGAGAAGGGGCCCAGAGGGGCATGAGGCAGAGTGGGCAGCGTCACCGCCTCCGCCTGGGACAGTGTCAGAGAAGCAGCGTTGCTGTCACTACCAGGAGTGGTATTTACAGGAGTAAAACAAAAAAGCAGAGTTAGGACATAATGAAGATGTTTCAAAGGGATTCATAAGAGAGAGGCACCAGAGAGGAAGCCAAGACTCCCCGAGAGCATGGCCCTCCACTGGTGAATAGAGGGTGCTGGGGCTTTGAACCTACCATCCCTAAATAACAACGCTCATGCATGTGCACACACAGACATACATATATGCCCACACGCTTATACATATATACTCATACACGTGCCCACCCTCTTATACACACATACACATGCATAGTCCCCCACACTCATTTTTTAAAAACCTTATTTGAGCACACCAACTACCGTACTAAGATAGTTTAGCTGGTGACCGATACGGCCTACTAAGGACTAACGGATGAGTACTGTGTACTGCACGGATGCTCTGGAAAGAACGGCCATTCAGGTCCCAGGCCACACGGAGGAGCACGGTGTGAGAGTTTACCATGCTCCTCTGAACAGCAAACAATTTCAAACTCGTAAGTTATTTACTTCTAGAATAATGCGTTAAGATCGTAGTTGGTGCTGGGTAACTGAAACCCAAAAGGCGAAGCCTCAGGTGAGAGGACACTGGATTGCCATATAGCTACACTTTGGAAATGCTGGGGGAAACACGATTTCCAGCTCAGAACACCGTGCTGGCTGCCAGCTCTTGACAGACTGCTAACGGGCACCTCCGGAGGTCCACAGGAGGGCTAAGGTTATTCTCCAGGGGCTGAAGGTGGGGGCGGCGGTATGCCCACGGCTCCTGACCTCGAGGTTCCCCGATCTTCAGATGTGGAGCTGGACTTCCAGAGGAGCGTGCAGGCCGTGCTGCGAGAGCTCAACACCCCGAACCCAGCCCTCCAGAGTACTCAGGGTGAGCGCTGCAGCGGGAGGCAACCGCTCCTGACTCCCTGCCCCACCCTGCCAGCTCTGCCCCGGGCACTCCGGGAAGGGCGGCCTAGCGTTCTCAGGTTTCCAGCCTAGCTGTCTTCTTGTTGGAAATCTGAACCTTGGGCTTGGAAGGCTTCTCTGCTTCCGGTTCAACCCTCCTGGTTAGTATGTTAGGATGGTAGTTGGTGGTGGGTAATTGAAACCGCAGAAAAGCTCAGGTAAGAGCGGGCTGGACTGCCGAGCTGCAGACAGGAACAGGGCGCTGCAATCCTCTTTCCTGGCCCCTTCCCCACCTCCACCTCCAAACAAAACTCTCCTGCAGGATCTGGAAACACTGCAGAGGTGCCTGGGGCTCTGGGCACGCAGATCACTGCCCTCTGTGCCACACACACCTCTGTCCCTTCTGGGGGCCCCTCCCCTGGCTTCTGTCCTGCCCTCACTGTCTAGAAAAAGCTACAGATCACGTGGCCATGGGAGGAGCTCCCCACCTACTCCTGGGGTCAGCTCTTACGACAGGGTCAGGTGTAGCTGGCTGACCCCACTCTGGGACCCAGGGCTCGGGATCCTGCTCAGAGGACTGGCCTCTAAGGCCCTCTGTCCCACCTGGCCATGGTGGGCTTCTCTTTCTCCTGGCCCAGGCATGTGGAGATGGTCTCTGCACAAGAAGGTGGAGAGAAATCCAGGAAAGAGCTCGGTGCTGGTCCGAATTCTGCTCAGAGAGCTGGAGAAGGTTGGTGCTCAAGCCGGAGGGGGCGGGGAGCAGGGTGGTGTGAGGAGGGAGCCCCATCAGGCTGGGCGGGGCCCCGCTGCGCAGACCTGTGCTCCCAAACCTGCGTCATTTGCGAGCCACGCGCTTGATCTTCACAAGGCACATTTTCTCCGCTATTTGCTATCCATCCGCTCCTATCACTGCTTGAGTTAGCATATTTCAAGAAGGAACTCCGTAACACAGCCATAGATGGAAAAGCCGCATCGCCGGGCAGACACAGAACATGCATACACTCTGTACCTTTGTGCAACCGTTGAGGCTTACCCTTGGACCACCCCAAATCGTGCCTGTCCTGCACATCGCTGCCTGGGAAACAACTGCCTTTCCGAGCTGTCAGTCAGCTTCGGCTCCCGAGTGCAGCTACCATCCTACCGGCCCGGCACAAGGACGCCTCCATCCGCCCTGCCCCTCACAGAAGGCTTCCACTGCCCCCCCCCCGCTGCCCCCACCCTACTCCCTTCCTCCCCTCTCCACAGCAGGCCACTCCCTTTGGCGTATTATATTTCCTCCTTCCACCTTATCTCCCCTGCCCCGCCAGCCTAAGCTGCCCTCTGTAGCTAGGATCTGGACCACCCAGAGCTAGCATCTCCTGAGCTAGCATCTCCTGTTTTCCAGGCGGAAAGCGAGGACACCAGGCATGTCATCATCCCCCTGCTGCTCACTCTAATGTACGTGCTCACTAAGGTGAGACGGCTTGGGGGTCAGGGTGGCTCACAGGAGGCTGGGGGCCATCAAGGGAGAGAGCTCCATTTTCAAAGGGAAGAAGAGCGAACTGACTCTGGAATCATGAGCGACTGCAGTCGGAGAGATGGTTCGGTGGTCAAGAGCACCTGCCGCTCTCCCGAGGCCCGGGTTCAGTTTCCAGCACCCACATGACTGGAATTTAAGTCCCAAGGCCCCGTCCTGGCTTCCTAGTTGACCCCTAATCCTGCCAGGGCAAGCCTGGTCTTCCCTTCCCCATACACTGTATGCTTTCCTTTCCATCAGACAGGCAATGGGGGAGTCGAGACAGTCTTTGATCGTGGGTGGACCTTGTTCACTGTGCGACATCATTTCGGGTACCAACACCCTCACCCTGTAACAACGCACTCGAGAGACTAGAGAAAGCAAAAATGTTTTTGCCTTTTCTTTTTTTTTCCAAGGCCGGGTTTCTCTGTGTAGCCTTAGACTGCCCTGGACTCGCTTTGTAGACCAGGCTACCCTCGAACTTACATTGATTGCCCTGCCTCTGCCTCCCTGAGTGCTGGGATTTCAGGTGTGTGCCCGGCGCAAAACTGTTTTTAATACTCGGTTCTGCATAACAGAACTCTAGCATAGAGAAAAAATGCAAACGTGGCCGGTGTGGCGTTTTGACACATGACAGAGGTTTTTTAAGTCCCTCTGATCTCAAAAGCCCTGCCCTCTCTTCCTTACAGAGTTACAATCTCATCTAGCAGAGGCCCCTTCCCAACTCCTCATCCTATTGGTCCAGGATACAAAGCCTTATCTAATAAATGTCCTGGGGCTTGGAACCAGCTCCTTTTCCAGCTCTCTGAGTTCTGGGAAGAGCTGAGGGAGGGAAGGCCCAGGGCCTGCTGCTAGCCTGCATCAAGGCCGGGAGAGAACTGAGCTGCCAAGGACGCAAGGATGAATTCTGTCTTGCTAGGGTGGAGAGTGGTGCTGTCGGGAGGTCTCACAGAGGCTGGGAGGAGAGAGCCAGCTGGCTGTCAGTCCCAACCTTCCATGTGCAGCGTCTCCGCCCCACCCCAGGCCCCTCAAAGCCCAGGGCCAGTCAATCCCTCCTCTCACCAGGCCACAGGCATCACGGAAGACCTCTACCACAGAGCTTATACCTTCTGCACCAGGCTCCTGACCCTGCCTGCCCCCTACTCCACAGTGGCCTTAGACTGTGCCATAACGCTGAAAATAGAGACGGCCGTCCCAGGTGAGAGCTGCTGCCCATCCTGGCCTCCCATGCTGCCGTGCAGCGCCACTCAAGATCAGGCTGTTTGCGCCAGGAAAGATGGAGGGAGAGGCCAGAGAATGGCTCGCTGATGTGGTCTGGTTTGCAGGTACACTGTACCAGAGGACCGTCCTCGCCGAGCAGAACCTGACAAGTGAACTGTACCCTTACCAGGACAGGTAAGAGGGCTGGCTCGCTGACAGGAGGGCAAAAAGAGGAGGCTGGGTGAAGAGCAATGCTTACCAGTGCTTCCACACTAGCCCACGCCCTGGCAGTTCTAAGGGTGGTGGCTCTGGGTCATTTTCTGGGCCTTTCTTCTTTGGCTGGGTACAGAGCGACCCTGCCCCTGGGCAGAAGAACCACACAGGCTTCCCCGCAACCCTGCTTTGTGCCACAAAGAAAGCCACATCCAACCAAGCCAGGCAGCAAGAGGATGGCCGCTCTCCAGGGCCCACCCCTGGGGGCTTTCCTCAGTGAGTTTGCAGTGAGATAAGGTGTCCCTGGTTCATGTTTGGAGGAAGAGTGGTAAGGTTGTGTGTGGGGGGGGGGGTGCCTCTCTCTGTAGGCAAGTCTATGGACTGGCACTGAGTGGCACCACGTAAGTTTGAGACTTGGGCATGTTCAGGAAGGGTGTTGAGGGAAAGGCCACCCGGGACTTAGTGCTAGAGTGGAGGGCACGGCCCAGTACCCTGAAGAAGGAACATTTTCATCCAGGGGGATGAGCAAAGCTGGTGTCTGTCCAGAGCTATAGTACCAGAAAGAGGGGTTTAGGGTCTCCCCGGAGGGTGATGAGCACTAGGCCAGGATGCTAAGGACCGGAAAGCAGGATTCAGTCTGGAACTTCACTGGATGCAGGATTTGGCCTGTTCCCCACAGGGAACCAACAGGCTGGGGGGGGGGGGGCAGCCGCCCCTCTGAAAGGGCTGTGCACACAACTGTCTGCTATGGTCCCCGCTTCCCCCACTTGTCTGGCTTGTAGGTTTGTGAACTTGAAGCTTCAGGCTTCTCTTTTTTGGGGAATTAACCACCAGAAACTGCTTTTGTTATCAAGGGTGTTATAGAAGCTGGGTGGGGGCCCGCAGAGCTTTCGGGGTGTCCTTCAGCACCTCGCTCCATTCTCACCCGCAGAGTGTTCCTGTTTGTGGACCCTGAGCTGGTCTCTGCCTCCGTGTGCAGCGCCCTGCTGCTGGAGATCGAGGCAGCCCAGGAGCAGCACAGCCCCGAGGCCTGCATGCGCCACGTGGTCTCCCACGCCCTGAAGGCAGCTCTGGGGGAAGCCTGCCACACAGGCGCTCTCACCAGGAAGCTGCAGGTAAGGACACCACGCCCGGGGCATCCGGCATGTCACTCCCCGAACTCTGCCTGCCGCTGGTCCATGTCCCCCTGTCCCCCACACCAACAGCTCACACGTGTTCATTAATGGAAACAGGAAGACTACAGACAAGACCCTTAAAGAGAGAGATAAAAACCACCTGTAACTCCTTTACTTAGAAATGGCAGGAATGAACATTAAGTATATTTCCTTACTAATGACGACATCAGGGGTTTAACAGCCAGTTCATTGACCGTTGACCCTGACAGCGTGCTAAACCTGGCCAGGTTTTGAAGTTCTCCCACAGTGCCTCGAAAGGCAATTCACATCCACGCGTATGGCCGGGAAGCCAAGGCATAGAGAAACCGTCTCCCCGAGCTCACACAGATGCAAAGTGAGAATTGGAGCCCCTGTCCACCTCATGTCAAGCGTACGCCTCCCAGCCCGCCTCCTTTTGAACATGTGGAGCTGTGAGGTTGCCTCAGATAACGTGTGTCTCCCCACGGCCCGGGACACACGGCCCGTGCAAACACGTTCCTTGGGAAACACGAACTTCTGGGGGCTGCTCAGTGTGCTGCGCTGATACTCGGGGCTCACGCTCGGCTCCTGTTGTGGGCTAGGCCTCCACTTACTCGTTTGCCAGTTTTTCTCTTTGATTCAGCCTCAGTCCAAGAAATCCTTCTGGCTGAGAGTTAGCACGAGGGCCTGAACGTCTTGGGAAGGAGGGGATGGGAGGACTGGTGCCAACCTTCTGTTGGTGGCGTGGAAGGCGGCGCAGACTGGACTGGATGCGTGCCGAAGTCGGAGAGGGCTTGTCTCGGGTGTTAGAAATGCTGCAGGGGAGGAACCGGACACGGGGGTTCAGCTGCCTCCCGGGCTTGGCCCGATTCAGGAAGTGGGGAGGGTGTCAGCGGCTTTTTTCTCAGCCCATTATTCAGGTCTGTCCTCTGCTCCGCCCATCAAAATACACAGAGAGGAACCTCACTACCCACCTGCAGGCAACAGGGGGCAGTGGCCACAGGCCGGCGGGAACCCAGGCTCTGGAGGTGGGCGCTCCTGCCCAGCTCCTAGGTGCCAAGGGTGGCGCCACGCCACCCAGTTAGCACAGGAGTGCGGCAGGGGGGTCGGGGGGAGGACAGGTGAGGAGGACTCAGGCTGTGCCGTCCCTCCTCGCAGGCCAGCTCCCGCCGCGCCCTGGAGCACTATTTCCACGCCGTCGTGGCTGCCGTAGAGCAGGTGGCTAGCGAGGACAGCCCCAGCCGGCTGGCACACCTGGAGAGGCTGGAGGAGATTTACTGCTCGCTGCTCGGGTCGGCGGCCACCAGACGGCGCTGCGTCGGTAAGCGGGGCCGGTGGGGACTTGCCGAGGGACCGCCGACCGCGGGGGGCGCCAAAGAGCCGTGCTAGCCAGACTGAGATGGCAGGAGCCTGCGGCTGAGAGCCAAGGGCCTTGGGAGGCTCCGGCTAAGGGAGTGGGTTAGTATGATCACGACGGCAGCGCACACCCGCAAAGCTTGATCCGTTAATGTTCTAAACATCTAACACGCATTCAAACCCAGGGCACATGCCAAATCGAATAATTTGTAAGTTAGGAAGTAGAAAAGATTATTGCCCCCAGGGCGCAGTGGCCCACGCCTGTGACCCCAGCACTCTGGAGGCCGAGGCAGGAGGATCTCTGTGCGTTCCAGGCCAGCCTGGTTTACAAAGCGAGTCCGGGACAGCCAGGGCTACACAGAGAAACCCTGTCCAGGATTCCAGTTCTTGTTCCTGGCAGAGTAGCCCCCCAGATTTGATTCCCAGAACATCTCCGAGGAGGGTGGAAAATAGCAGGTGTCAGCATTACTTATCCCTGGGGTGGGTGTGTGCTCCTCACACTGCCCTTCTACTTGCACATGGATGAAGCAATGCCACACCCCCACAAGAGCCCACAAGAGCGAGTTCCATGAGTGGGCTCTGACAACCTCCAGTTCCTGTGCCCTGGCTACGGGGGTGACTCCAGGGTGTGTCCTGTTGCATGGGCACTCAGAGCAGCCCGCAGCGTGACAGCCTGAGTGTGTCAGAACATAGGGTCACTGACTGCACCCACACTTACAAGTTGCAGGGGAAATGGGCTGGAAAGCACCGCAGAAGTCAGCACCCAGAACGCCAAGGCTTGAACTTGGCAGCCCAGGCTGGACAGAGTGAGCAGGGCAGACTCCGTCCTCTCTGTTCCTGCCCCTCAGTCCCCACCGTCTGCTCGTTTCTCCAGGAGACCTTCTCCAAGACCGACTGCCGGGCATCCCCCTGCCCAGCCCCTCCATCACCTTCCACCTGTGGAGCGACCCTGAGCAGCTCTGTAGGTGCTGGAGCCTCTGAGCTCCTGTGGAAATGACTTAGAAGGGTGGTGTCTGTGTGTGTGTGTGTGTGTGTGTGTGTGTGTGCGCGTGTGTGCGCGCGCTCTCTTGAGTGCACGAGTTCACATCTGTGCTCTTGTCTTGTTTAAGGTCTGTTTCCTGAGTGTCTTGTGCCCCTGCTCATGCCATCAGTGTCCCCCAAAGGGAGGCAAGCAGAACCCATTACGGCTCCCAGATCTGGAAGGGCTTTCCAGAACAGACATTTCCCTCTACTCTTGTGTCCTGTCCCAATTCTTTTGGCTCTTGTAGTGAGTGAGGACAAGGACGTTAGTTGTGGGAAGTGTTGTGCTGGAGTACTGGGTTCAAATCTTGACACTTCCCTTTTGCATGCTGGGTCATGGCAGATACATTCTCTCTCTGGACCTAAAAGTGGTTTGGAAAGTCGTCCCTGGAGCTGGTAGTCTGGCATCTGTGTCCCAGGGGAAGCTACAGGAAGCGGGAGGTTGGAGGGGGCGTCGAGGGTCGGCTACATGTGGGAGGTGCCGGTGATTTCTTTAGTCCTGAGGTTCTCAGAGATTTTCATACGTTACTGACTGGATGTGGTGGCGCACACCTTCAGTCTCTGCACTCAGGGGGCAGAGGCAGGTAGATCTCTGAGTTCAAGGCCAGCCTGGTCTACGTGGCGAGTTCCAGGACTGCCAGGGATACATAGAGAAACCCTGCTCAATAAAAAGAAAGAGAGACAGAGAGAGAGACAGAGACACAGAGGGAGAGAGAGAGACAGAAAGAGAAGGAAGAAAAGAAAGGAAAGGAGGAAGAAAGGAAAAGAAAAAAGAGGGAGAAAAGAAAGGGAAGAAATGTATTTACTGAATGGCCTCAACGGGAGGAAGCCCGGCTTGTAGGACTCTGGACCACTGTTGACCACAAGACTGTTGGCCTTTGTGAAGTGTCCCACCGGGCTTCTGTTCAGGTGGACAGTGTTTGAGGGACGGGGGCTTCGGATTTCTGGGGACGCTCCCAGCGTCCATCCTGACACTCCCCTGTCCTCTGTCCCAGGGAAGGAACTGGTGCTCTTCCTGCGCCCACACTCCCAGCTGCGCCTCAGTTCTGACCTGGAGGCCTTGGATCTACAAGGCCTGGGGCTGGACTGGGACCTGGCCAGGGTGTCCACCGACAGCGGTATTGAGCGGGACCTCCCCTTCGGGAGTGACGAGCTGCCGGCCCCCAGCAGCCCTGAGATGGAGCCGGCTGCACTGCAGCGCAAGGGGGGCGTCAGGAAGCGCGTGTGGCCCCCCGACTTCTCCGTGCCTGGCAGCTGGGACGGGCCCCCGGGGCTGCATCGGAGGACCGGCCGGCCCAGCGGGGACGGGGAGCTGCTGCCTGGGGTCTCCAGGGTGCATACAGCGCGCGTGCTGGTGCTGGGGGATGACAGGGTGCTGGGGCGCTTGGCCCAGGCTTACTACAGACTCAGGTAGGCCCCCGAGGAGGGACGGGGGGGGGGGGTAGGGGTGGTATTAGGGGGACGGGAGAACAGGCTGGGGAAGGCAAGGAGAGACACGGTAGAGGATCCCCAGTGACCAGCCATCAGTTTGACAGGAAATGACGACCTTTGCCATGTTGTAAATGGGTGAACAGAGGCCCAGAAAGATAGCACAAATGGCCCAAAGTCAATACAGGATAAGCGGCAAGCCCGAGGCTATTTGCTGCCAGTCCCGACCCTCGGTTCTTACCCACCTACCTTGCCGGTTGCCAGGAAACGGGAGAGCAAGAACTTCTGCCTCGCTCCTAGGCTCAGCCTGCAGCTCTACTACATACCCGTGCTGCCGCCTCAGGTGACTGGACGGGGGG